TCTAGGGTTCAATTCCCTCTCGACTCTACAATATCTTACCAACTCATTATTGTAAATACCGCGCCGCCGTAGGCTATAAAAAGCGCTCTGCGCCGATTTTTTTTTGTAGCGCCGCGCATTTTTTATAGGCGCCTTCTATTTTTATTAGCGCGAGTTAAAACCTTTGATTTATAAGGTTTATCTGCTCCCTCCTTATAAAATCGCGCGTAGCGCATTTTATAAGAGCCACTAAATCAAACAAAAAATTTTTAGAAGCGCGTTTAGATACATGAAAATATATCCGCGCAACTATTAGTTATTTATATATATATAGATTAGCAGTCAAAAGGGGGGCGCCCTAATAAAATGCGCCTATAAAAATCTTCGGCGCAGAGCGCGCCCGCCGTAGGCGGCGGCGCAGCCCCCCGCGCGTACGCGCTTTAAATTTTCTAGGGCGGCGCGATTTTCTAACCCCGCGCCTTTTAAAAACAAAGCGCTAATAAAATGCGCCTATAAAAAATGCGCGGCCTATAAAATTTCTTTTAAATTTTATAGGGCGCGCTCTGCGCCGATAGGGCTACGCTTAGAAGCCTTCGGCGACTAGTAAATTTGATTAGGCGCGGATACTTTTGTCAATAAAATAGTATGAAGTATTTTATAAGTATAGTAAGAAATAATTAGAAAAGAATATCGTATAATGGTAATACTATGATCTCCAAAGTCATTTATGTTGGTTCGATTCCAGCTGTTCTTGTAAACTTGTGCTAATAAAATCTACTATTGGGCGCGCGTACGCGCGCCCTAATAAAATGCGCTACGCGCGATTTTCTAACGCGCGTCAGCGCCTTTTTCTTATGCGCGTAGCGCCCCGCCCCGGGTGAAACCCCGCGCCATATAAAATCAGCGCGTAGCGCCCCCGCCCTATAAAATTTCAAAGAAATTTTATTGGGCGGGCGGGCGCAGCCCCCCGCGCGTACGCGCTTTAAATTTTATAGGGCGGGCTCCGCTTAATTAAGATTATTGTATAGGAACTGAAAACATCTTTTATAAAGATATTCAGCATCTGTTCACCAGCTAGTGTTTACCGTAATAAAGATTTTCTCTCTATTATTGGCATACTGGCGCACCATATCATTGTTATTTACTATGCTTGCTGCTGCTAAATACATCGGATCAGGAGTAGCTGCTCTAGGACTAATCGGAGCTGGAATCGGAGTTGGAATCGTATTCGCTGCTCTAATCCAAGGAGTTTCACGAAACCCTAGCCTACGAGGTTAAAATCTGGCCTCTACAGGGTGAATTGCAAGGAGATCTTATGTAAAGATAAGAGAATTTGCAGCTAAGCTTAAGTCAGTGCCCTTCTAGTAAATAGAATAGAAACTAGAAAGCGATTTAAGAAAGTTCAACGACTAATCGGTGAGTTGCACTAACAATAACCCGGACACGAGCGCCCTGCTATTTATATTGTATTATAAATAGAAGACATAGTCTAATCTAGTAGGTGACTACTAGCTAACTTATTAAAAAGAGTTAGGTCATACCTAATAATAGGTATGTTAATACCCAATGCAACTATTTACTTACGCAATTCTAGGATTTGCCCTATCAGAGGCTACTGGACTATTTGCGCTAATGGTATCATTCCTGCTACTTTACTCATAATTATTGAGTACTTAACGCTAAGTTAACCTATCCGGGGGGGGATAGATATTCCCCCTTTCCACCTTCGATACCTCAGTACGTATAAAATAACATTCCGCGCCCGCGCCAATAAAATCGTAGATTTTGCGCGTAGTTATAAAATCGCGCCGCCGTAGGCGCCCTATAAAATTTAAAAGAGGGCGAAGCCCGCCTACGGCGGGGGCGCTCTGCGCCGATCCCTTCGGCGCCCTAGAAAATTGAAAAGAGGGCGAAGCCCGCCTACGGCGGGCGGGCGCAGCCCCCCGCGCGTACGCGCTTGAAATTTTATAGGGCGGCGCGGTAACAAACTATCAGGTAGCCTTAACATGAACAGTAGTAGTAATACTACGAATAGCAATCATCTCATTCCGCCCCCACTTGGCGCTACGCGCGGGGATTCGCCCTGGTCTATTTTTGATTGGCTATTTTCACTTCTTCCTAATTCTATGAAGCAGGAACTGCGAAATCGAGTACCTGCAACAGATTTCAGTGAACTAAGCGCTATTGACGTGCTACACTTCCAATACAACATCGTTGTACTTCTAATTGGAGTAACTGCAATTATTGTACGCGCCTATAAAAATGCGCCGCGCTATGCGCAAAAATCTTCGGCGCGCCCAATAGGGGGGCTGCGCCCGCCCTCTTTTAAATTTTATAGGGCGGCGCGATTTTTATTGGCGCCCCTTGTTCTAATTACCATCTACCGATACTGTGTAAAATATCGAGATAGTATCGTTGAGAAATTTACACTACTTAGTAATATTATCCCATCAGATAAAGTGGTATATAATCTAATTACTGTTCTACAAATTATTGTAGTTGTTAACATTTCAACAATTGTTGTAGGGCTAAAGTTTATAATCAACCATCCATTTGTATTCAATTAAACGATATTATATATCTATCCCCCACGCGTCAGCGCCTATAAAAATGGGTCCCCGCAAAATTTACTAGTGGGCGCGCGTAGCGCCCCTGATTAGGCGTAGCGCTGTTATTTTTAAAAAAGAAGCGTAGCGCGGGGCGCCTATAAAAAAGCGCCTATTTTTATTGGCGCGGGGACCCCGCGGGGGGCGGCGAAGCCGCGCGTACGCGCGCCCAACCAAATATATTTCTATATATATTTTCAATCATTAGAGAGTAACTTTTATTTGATAATAGATCTGTATATATATAGTTAGTATAAGAATAGCAAAGATTAAATATATAAAGTACTTTAGTGTAAGGTGGCACAGCAGACTCATGTCCTGCTAGACCAGTGTTCGAATCCTGGAATGTACTCAATTAAATAATTATCGCCTTGAAATAGGAATATTTAAAAATGAATTAATATTATAAAAAGAGCGCGCCTAATAAAATGAAATTTACTAGTAAATTGAATTTTCTAAGCGTAGCCGCGCTATGCGCCGAAGATTTTTGCGCATAGCGCGGCGCACTATTAAACTAAAATGATGCGGCCGTTTTAAAAGCGGCAAAATTATAGTAAATTTTATAAGCGTAGCGCAAAATTGAAAATTTCTAACCTCACATCTAGTTGAATATAGAAATATTCTATCATACTTTATTACCGCCCCTTCGATTTTAATTCTCCCTATCATAATGCTTGTATTTGTATAGTTGCTAATAAAATTACTAGCGGTTAAAAATCAAAGATGCGGGCCGCCGTAGGCGCCGAAGGGATAGAATATTTTTTATAGGGCCCGCCCCTGAAAATAAGGGATTTTATAGCCACTACTTTATAAATTGTGATTTATTGCGGTTATAAAATTGAAAATTTGGCGCTACGCCTAATCAGGGGCGCTACGGCGCGCCCCCTAGTAAAGTAAATTTTGCGGGGGCGCCGCCCTATAAAATTTCAAAGAAATTTGCGGGCGCCGAAGGGATAGAATATTTTTTATAGGCGCCCCACCCTATCTTCGATTTTTGCGCGTAGCGCGGCCACTACTAAAAAGCGCTACGCGCGGGATGGGTTTAATTTATGTAATATATATATATATAGGTATAGGTCTCTTAGTTTAAAGGTAAAACAGTAGATCTTCATTTTACTAATAGGAGTTCGATTCTCCTAGAGATCAGTAGATTTAGATCTATAAAAAGAGATATGCGCTCCGCGCGGAATAGTGCGCTACGCGCGATATTCTAAAACCGCCGTAGGCTGTTAAATGTAATGGCGGGCGAAGCCGCGCGTACGCGCCTAGTTATAATATAATAAAAATGTCGACTTAGTTTAGTGGTAGAATAGGTAACTTGTAATTACTTGACACTAGTTCGATTCTAGTAGTCGGCAATATACTGTAAATATAAATAGTAGTAACTATAAAAATACTATATAATCTAAGATCGCGCATTCTTTTTGTGCGCGCCAATAAAAATCGAAGATTTTTTATAGGCGCTTTCCCTTATGCGCGTTATAAAATCGAAAGATGCGCCCTCCGGAAAAATAAGGGAAAAGCGCCGCGCGTAGCGCAAAATCTTCGATTTTGCCTACGGGGGGTTATAAAATCGCGCGTAGCGCCCCGCCCTATAAAATTTCAAAAGAAATTTTATTGGGCGGGCGGGCGCAGCCCCCCGCGCGTACGCGCTTTCAATTTTATAGGGCGGAGCCGCGCGTAGCGCCTTCGATTTAGGGCGGGGGGCCGCCCGTTTTTAAAAAAAGGCGAAAAATTTCCTAGTAATTTGATTAGGCGCGTCTTTTAAATTCTTAGAATTTTTTATAAAAGAAATTTATATATAAACGAATTAGAAATTTCCCACTATATAAATTCTATAAATGGAATGTGGCTATCACCTAATAATAGTTAATATAAATGTGCTATCGCGCGTAGCGCGGATCTTATAGATTGTAGTAATAAAGAAGGGGCCGCCGATAGGCGCGCGTAGCGCCTTCGATTTTTATTCCGTAGCGCGCCCTAGAAAATTGAAAAGAGGGCGCCTACGGCGGGCGCGCTCTGCGCCGATAGGGTGGGGCGCCTATAAAAATATTCTATCCCTTCGGCGCCGGCAAATTTATTTTCAATTTTATAGGGCGGCGCGCCCGCAAAATTTACTAGTAAATTTGATTAGGCGTAGCGCAAAATTTTACAAATGTAAATAAAAATCTTCGATTTTGCGCGTAGTTATAAAATCGCGCGTAGCGCATTTTATTAGCCCTCCTTATAGTGAGGTTCTGTTCCTATTGATATAGTATTCTATTTTACATAATTGTATAGAATTATAAGTATAAGTGGTAATATAGGATCTCGTCTAAAGGAAAGCCTGCGGCGGTAATGAGAATGGTTAAAAAAAGTAATAGTAATACTACTGATAGTAGACTACTATGATAAGAATACTAATAAAGTAAAATGTAGGATGTCGTCTAAAGGAAAGACTTTCTTTTTTTGGTGAGAAAAATAGTTGTTCGATTCAACTCATCCTAGTTATTGTTTGTGCTTATAAACCGAATATTTATAAGTATTTATAAAAGTAGAAGTTTAAACGGCCGCGCGAAATTTAACTAGTTAAATTTATAACCGCGCGCCAATAAAAAATAGAATATTTTTTATAGGCGCGGCTATATTAATGTAAGAAAGAATCCACTTGTTAAGGTATAGTTTACCATCTTGTAGTCGAACAAATACGAAGGGATATGAATTCCTTCTAGTTGGGATAGTTTCTCACAAGCTTTATTACGAGAGAGAGTTAGCAATAAATGTTTGGCTAGGTTCTAGAGTGCGCTAATAAAATGCGCCGCCGTAGGCAAAATCTTCGGCGCAGAGCGCGCCCGCCGTAGGCGCCCTCTTTTCAATTTTCTAGGGCAACGCCCGCGCGTACGCGCGCGCGCAAAAATCTTCGCCCATTGGCGCGTGCATAGAATAGGTTTTTGAATAGAAGAATTATAACTACTCTCTTTCATGTTTTCATTACGAACTTTCATGAATGCTAATAAAATATCTCCGCGCCTTCTTTTTTTTTTTTTTAAAAAAAAAAGAGGCGGAGCGCAAAATTTACTAGGAAATTTTATAAGCGTAGCCGCGCGGCCCCGCCGAAGGCTTTTAAAACAAAAAGAAGGGCGCCCAATCGGCGCCTATAAAAAATATTCTAATCCCTTCGGCCGCCCGCCCTATAAAATTTCAAAGAAATTTTATTGGGCGGGCTTCGCCTCTTTTAAATTTTATAGGGCGGCGCCCAGGCGGGCGCGCGTAGCGCCCCGCGCGTACGCGCTTGAAATTTGCGGGTTAAAAAAAACAAAAAGGCGCTGACGCGCGGGGCTCCTAATAAAATCTTTTATAACGCGCGTACGCGCCTTTTTATGCTCCTCCGGAAAATAAGGCGCGACAAAAAGAATGGCTAAGAAAATTTTCAATTTTATAACTCCATAGTAAGTTGATATTCTGTGGTAGCATTTTCAATTGGTGTAGTAGTAATGGCAAAGTAGGCGCCTATAAAAATCTTCGGCGCGGCTACGCTTAGAAGCCTTCGGCGACTAGGAGGGCGAAGCCCTTGCGCGCGCGCGTACGCGCGGCGTTATAAAAAAGCGCTCTGCGCCGATTTTTATTAGGCTCTTTCAATAGCCTTTTTAATTGTAGAAGAGGTAATACCAGCAAGTAGTTGTGCTTGTGCTTTAGATTCAAAGCTGAAAAGTAGTTTATCACCGCAAAAATCTTCGATTTTTTATGGCGTAGCGCCGCGCGTAGCGCTTCGATTGGGCGCCCCGCAAAATTTACTTTTACTAGGGCGCGTACGCGCGGCTTCGCCCGCCCTCCATTTTATTAGGCGTAGCGCATTAAAAAAAAAACAAGAAGCGTAGCGCGCCCTAGAAAATTTCAAGCGCGTACGCGCGGGGCGCTACGCGCGCCCGCGCCGCCCTATAAAATTTCAAAGAAATTTGCGGGCGCCGAAGGGATAGAATCTTTTTTGCCTACGGCGGCGCCGATTGGGCGCGCGTACGCGCGGCTTCGCCCGGCGTAGCGCTTATAAAAGTAAACAGGTGCGATTTTTCCGCTTTAATAAGTTTCCTTTTTTGTGATAGTGTCTCACTTGTAACAGTCGGATTAAAAAGATCTCGAACTACATTTAGTTCTGAATGTAGTGTATCGATAAAGTATTGTTTTATCTTAGTTACATCAATTGGTTTGTACTGAGTAGGATCAATACGTAGAAGAGTTAGTGAAATATTTTTGCTTCTTTTTCTTATGCGCGTTAGAAAATCGAAGGCGCTACGCCTAATCAGGGGGCGCTACGCGCGCCCGCCGTAGGCGGAAATTTTGCGCGGGGCCGAAGATTTTGCGCGCGCGCGTACGCGCGGCGTTATAAAATCAAAGATTTTATTAGCGGCCGGGTGTAACCCGCGCGTAGTTATAAAATCAAAGATGCGGGCCGCCGTAGGCGCCGAAGGGATAGAATATTTTTTATAGGCCCGGCCTCCCATAATAGTAAAAGAATGCGCTACGCGCGTAGCAATAAAAATCTACGATTTTTATAGGTCGTAGCTGTGTTGATAGAAAATTCTCATTAAAGTATAGTGGCGGTATAAAATGAATATTTCGGTGTCTTACGTGTACTTTGGCCTACTAGAGATACTCCTGTTGGATTATAAGTCCAAATATAGAGCCAAAAAAAGAGGGGCCGCGGCCGCGCACTGAACTCATTAATTAGTTTTCGATTGTTGCGCGGGTCTTTAACCTTTAGCATATCAAAAGTACATGGAGGTAGGTTACTTGTTCCGCCGTTTGGCGGAAAATTCTTACTCCAATTTGCACCACTAACTTTTGTATTTACACTTTTAGCATATAGAGGTAGTGGACGGCGCATTCTTTTCTTCTTTTTGACGCTAATATAATCGAAGATTATATAAAGCGCATTAAAAAAAAGCGGGCGCGGATCAGTACCATTAGAAATTTCTGTAATATCTCGTCTCTTACGTTCTTGTTTTGTAAATTTATGCTAATTTTTGGAAAAATGCGCTACGCCTCTTTTTTTTTTCTTAAAAAAAAAGAAGGCGCCTATAAAAATGCGCCGCCCTAGAAAATTTCAAAGAAATTTGCGGGCGCCGAAGGATCGGCGCAGAGCGCCCCCGCCGTAGGCAAATTTATTTTCAATTTTATAGGGCGCCTACGGCGGCGCGATAGGGGACCCAAAAAAAAGTTGACCGTCTTAGAAAACATTTCCCGTTCTAATGAGAAAGAAATTATGAAAAGGTTCTGTAGATAGCTTAATACATCTACTACTAAGAATATTCCTTTAAAATGAAGGAATACCTGACAATGTTTATAACATTGGGGCCCCTATATAATAAATCTCTTATATAGTGCATGTATTGGATAATAAAGAAGTATATAAAGTTTATTATAGATATCTACTAATATAGGAAGATAAATTCTTATAAACGATATCTCTCTTTACTGCTAGAGAATGTAATGAGAATGGTTGTTCGATTCAACCCGGGCTTCGCCCGCCCTCTCCGATAGGGGGGCTTCGCCCCCCCCCCCGCGCGTACGCGCATAGAAATATATGAAGATAGTAGGGCTCGAACCTACGACCTCGATATTAAAAGTATCGCACTCTAACCAACTGAGTTATACCTTCTTTATATAGGTTACTTAAGGACAAACCACTATTGGCGAGGTGTCGGCGATTGCTAATTGTCTGGGATATTACAAACTCCCTTAGGAGTTCGAATCTCCTTTTGTCCGTTGTTAGTAATAATATACCTATATATAGGAATTCCAAAATACATAAAAAATGGGAAACTTTTTAGCTACTCTCTTCATATTCGTATTTACTAAAAATGAAGTCCTCAACGCGACTGGGGCTTCGCCTTCCCGCGCGTACGCGCTTTTTGTTTTTGGTTTTGCCTAATTAGGAAATGCGCCGCGCGTAGCGCAAAATCTTCGATTTTTATTTTGTAGCGCCTTCGATTTTGCCTACGGCGGGTAGCGCCAAATCTTCGATCGGGGGGCGCCCTCTTTTTCTTTTTTTTTGATTTTGATTTTCATTTTTATTTTCATTTTTTATTTACAAAAATGGCGCAAAAAAATATACGATTTTTATTCCGGCGTAGCCGCGCAAAATCTTAGGCGCGGCTACGCTTAGAAGCCTTCGGCGACTAGTAAATTTGATTAGGCGCGGAGCGAGAATAAAATAGTAAAATGCATTAGTATAAAGCAAAAGATTGAACTAAAAAGAAAGTAACTAGACTAAGAGGATTTCCCACAGCAATTTGCAGTGGTACGATGGCTTTACTCTACAAATGCTAAAGATATTGGTACACTGTATCTATCCTTTGCTGTATTTGCAGCTATGATTGGACAGCATTTTCAGTACTAATCCGAATGGAACTAGCAGCACCTGGAGTACAATACCTTAACGGAGACCATCAACTATACAACGGTGCGCCGTCTAACACTTGGTATCGTCGATATCGTATCTTTCGTGCTCATTTCTTCAATTATCTTACGTGGTTCGAACGGTTTTACTTCCGGATGTTCCCTCATAAGATCCTCTGCTGGAATAACGTAGATAGCGCATATCCGGTTTACCCAATTGATGGTTCGGAACCTGGTTACGAATGGACTCGATCCCAATCGGGTCACAGTCATGACATTTATGGTCGATTCTTCGAACGTAATAAACAGGGTTCTGATCATAACCGTAAAGCACCTAGCTCAGCCAACTCCGGCCAACGGGGTGGTGAAAATAGCATGCTAGGAAAAGCTGCGTGCAATAATCGTAGCGAGCTACGGGCTATATGGTGAGGTTAACAAATCCCTTTCAACATGCAACACCAGTCTTAGTTCTGGACTTACTTGTTTCATTCGAAAAGGTAAGGCTCTATTTCTGGCCGGAACGAATTACGTTGTGTCGTTCTGGTTCAATTGGGCGAGTGGATGGGTCACAAGTAGTGATCACAATGCGTGGGGACACCTAAGTAGCCCAATAGGAGGACGCGTAGCGCAATCGTCTTCCTGCGGTACCAATGTGGAATTCGGGATCACCCGATCGAGGAAACTCGTGGGGTGACGGAGCTCTCGTACTAGCTTCTAATACTGTAACTCGAAACAAGATTTCTAATGCTCGAAATTACAGTACTAAAGTGAAGGGGAGCAGCAATGGATTCGCTGTGGACTCTATGCCGGCGGGTATGGAGAAAACTGCAGCAGCTTATTACAAGCAATGTCAATAATAAAGCTCTGGTTAATACCAATATTATGCATATTATGTCTGATCTCGATCTACTTATCGCTGCTTATGCTCGAATCAAAAGTAAACCTGGTAACATGACTCCAGGTATCGACACTGAGACACTGGATGGAATCAACATGGATTACTTCCTACGACTGCAACGAAATCTACGATCAGGAGCATTCCAGTTCCGACCGGCTCGGCGAATCGAAATCCCAAAACCGAATGGTAATGGTACTCGACCGCTAAGTATTGC